GTAGGGAAATGATTGTCCAAGACATCTGTAGCTTTGGGGCAAGCATCTTCTGGATCTGTGACCCTGATGTCTGGTAATTACAGCCAGAGTTTTGCAGGATACTCAAGAACTCAGAAGATGACGTGGAAGCATAGATCAGAAGTGCTGGAACTAGGTTTTATGAGAAAAGTTTGGAAGCTGAAAGTCTTTCAGGTAGAACAGTCAGTTCTGTATTTGTACAAGTGATACTTAATCCATTTCATGGACCTTCTTTTGATTTGGTAGAAAGAGTAGAAAAAGGTAATTTAAAAGGATCAGTATATTACGTTCAGATTGTTGTCTTCAGGGTAAGATGACATTTGAGTCACACAGCTATAAGTTTTTTTTTTTTATCTTCAGATATTTTCTTTTCCCCCGTTCTGTAAATCTTCTGTTCCCTGGCAAAGCAGCAAGACACATTATTCATGCTGTAATCCCACAAATTGCTGAGTGGCAGGTTTTCAAGTGAAGCTTGGCCCTTCGTCTTGGTCAACTGCTGCAGGGCTGACCCCTGGAAGTACCTGCTTAAGGCATTAGTCTCTTGGTCTGTTTGCAAGCCCAGTTTCTTGGAAGTTTGATAAATCTTCAAACGGTTGCTGGCTTAGCACTATTTACCTAGACTTGGCTTTTATTGTGGAACCAGGTTGAACCAGAAGGGACTGGAGTGGCTCAAGGTCAGCCTTTTCAGCACTGGTGTTTTCTGTTGGCTGGTGCAGATGTTTTCTCTGAAGCAGAAATAGTCTATAAAAAGATGGCTCTTAAGAAGGGCTGTTAAAATATTTACACTGCCACCATCACTTCTCTTTAGTGTAGGTTGTTTGGGGCAATGGAAAAACCTTGCTCCATCTTTGCTGTGGTTAAAAGGAGGTGTCTGCTCGAGGCTGGATCAAAGTTAGTCCTGCTCTCCATCCAATTCAGTTTTCCTCAGGCAGAGAGATGTTCCAGAACTGCCTCTGTCAGCAGAGGTGAGGCATCAGGAGCTCTTGGTCTGATCATCTCGACACAGCCCAGCTTGTGGATACTCAGCCTGTTTTGGCCAGTGGATACAAAAATGGTATTTTGCTTATTTTGATTTTTTTTTCTACTCTCTCCTTGTCTTTGAGGAATGCATTTGTGCTATGATCTTAATGGGATAGAGAAGAAAAATAATTTTACGTGTAGTTTTTGTTGGGTTTGGGGCTTTTTTTTTTTCCTAAAGATTTTGATAGGGTGGGACTTCTTGATATATTTTGAGCAGAAACCTGCTACATTTCTATTTGGGCTGAGGAAGGTAAAATAACCACACTGTCTGACAGAATAAAATCTTAAAGCATTCAGAGTCACACACAGAGAAAAGGAAATTACTGGATATACTTTACAATGTGTAATCTTGTCAGTTGTCACTGGAATTCAAGACGTTTTGCTGTTGATCTGAACCTCAGCCTGTGGGTACAAGAGGTATGGTAGGAAATCCTACCCAATGACAGCATTTAGCCACTTGCATCTCTCAAGAATTTTTGTCCCCAACAAGTGCCTGGCTGTTTTTCATGGTGAAAGCAAGAGGATGGTACCATAAGGTCGTGCACAGGAGCCAGCCCTCGGTGGATGTTTATATGCTCCATAACAGTACTCCTCTGATTGCAGCAATTTCTAATCTTTCCATGTCTCCTCCATTGTTCTTCCACCTTGTAATCAATCATTTTATGTCTAGACAGAGCTAGCTAGCTCAATCTGTGCCATACTTCCAGAAGCCTTCTGTTTCTCATCCTGCTTTTAAATAGCAGCCCAAATTCATTCTTTATTGCCTATCTTTATGTAAATCAGTCAGATTTGTGAGTGCAACTTGAGGTAGAATTTAGCCTACTTCTAATTCTCTGCTGCAGTTCATGGTTTGAATTCCTGAGAATAAATATATAAGGATGTCCAGGCGCTGCTTCCTGAAAGACTGGCCCAAACAAGAAAGTTAATGTCTAAAATTGGAGTTGGCCGTTACCAAGAAGCTGTTCTGTGGTAGGGTATTCTCATTTGGATATTTCTACATATAGTTCTTTTTTATAAGCTGGAAATTCTTCCTCTTGCTGGTCTCTCTCCAACAAAATCCTTTTTCTGTGTCTCTCCACGGACCGTTCTCTAAAGCTCCGCTTGGCTTTTTGCAGTCTGCAGTTTCAGATAACACAATAACCATGTTCCAATGTATTAAACTTTTAACATCCTCAAGATTCAATTAATCTTATCTTTACAACTCCCAATTACAGGCACTAATTAAGTGAAGGTTGCATTGTAGACTGGGGATATTACATTAATCATCGGCAGCCTTGTAGCCATAAATGAGTTCTTTCCCAATCCTTCAGCATTTTTCCCAGAAGGAATGGAATGTCTCATTTCCCTGTTTTAAGGGACATTAATCCCACAAAGGAGCTTTGGATCAGGATTAGTTTTATCACATTTATGTAAGTGATGAATGGTCTTTGTAAAAAGAAAGCTCCTAGCTTTGTCCCAGACAAATGAAATTGAATTGTTGGATAATTATGCAATTTAAGGCACTGTCAAACTTTGGTCAGAGGATGTTTGGAGTCCATTGCTATATTTATTAATTTTACAAGATTAGGTGTTACATAGTGTTTCTTTTTTATGGTTTCAGTTTAAATGGGCATAATGCCTAAATCCTGAAGCATCCTGTGTAGGATTTCTGCCCTGTCTTATCCCTTAGCACAACAGGTAAATTTGGGGTTTGTACAAAAGCAAGGCAGGATATAACTTCTGTCTACTTCTCCTTACATTATAGATAAATTTTAGGCTTGAAAATGGAGAAGCTGAACAAGTGGGCTGGCTGAAAGTAAAAATCAGGTGTATTTTGAGAGATCCTATCAGAAGCAGAGCAGTACTCTTGACCTGTTGTTGAGCTAGTGCAGTTGCCCGCTACAATATCCTGTTTTCAGCTTGTTCTATTGAGACATGATGGATTTGACATCTTTATTGGAAATAACAAAAATAATGCCCTTTTTATTAATCACAGGGAACCAAAGTTATAGCTGGAAATAAATGTCATATTCACAAATGTAAATTTTCAGAGTTCTCTGCTACAGAAAATGGCACGAGAGGCCTGTTGGGTTTGTTGCAGTATGTGAGCAACAGTTTACAGAATTCCATTGACATTATCACGTGTGTCATCACCTTAAACACACTGAAGTGTGTCACTATATTTACTACTTGTTGTAACCTGGATGCCTAAAATCTTAGTTTTCTGATTTTGGCTTCTGTGAGTATTGAGGTGGTGTAACTTCAAAGCAGTAAAGTAACTAATAACTTGTAAAAAAAACCCCATCCATTTGAAACTTGGCTGATTTCTGTAAATAATCATCACACATCACACTGAGGCTCGCCTGTGACTTTAGGCAGTTGATTGTTTTTCCAGTATTATATTCAATGCTTCATGCTTGTGGAAGAAAAACCATTTAGATCAAATTGTTTTGCACCCTTTTTATCCCTTTTCCAACAAAAGTGTCTTTAAAAAGTGTCAAAGTTGTTCCTTATGTCCTTTAATGTTGGCTTCCTCAGAAGACTGCTGTTGGCTTCAACTCATCAAGAAAATTATCAGTTTAATTCTTTCCCATCAGATAACTGACTTCTTCAGCCCTTGTGAAGAGTATTTACTTTTTTGACTAAAATTAAAAATATTTACAGAGAGTTTTCTTTGGCAAAGCTTATCTTAATTTGCTGTAGATGCACCAGAGCACACAGACCCTCCTCCACACCTTTTCAGCCCATCCAGGATTTCTTGCGTGTTATCTTCGGCGCAGCCTCGTGGTTTTATTTTGCAGATATCTTTTCAGCAGAAAACACACCTGCTGTTCCCTATACTGATTTATTTCTGTTTTTTTTTTTCCCCTGCTGCGTCATCACTTTGTCCTCTCAGTTTTCCTTCTACCCTGTGAAGTCGTGTGATTCTGCTTAGAAACATTGCAGGGAAATAACACACATCGTATAACACGTCGAAGGGCTTTTATTAAAGCACTGGCTTTCTTCCATGTATTATGTGTTACTGATACCTTCCAGACTTACATCTTAGTTATTTCCAGACATTAATTGCGAGTGTGCTGTGCTGAAAGTTATTACCATGCTTGTTTCTAGGCTCTTTCTTTCAGTGTTTTTATATTATAAAATGATCTATGGGCTGGGTGGTTTATTTTTCTCATGTGTTAACTTTTTCCTAGGTATGCCATACCTCCAGAACATGGCAAGAGATTGGAACGCCTGGCAAAAGGTAAGCTCTGCTTCCTCCTCCATGTGGAACTCACGGGTTCCTTCTCAGTGAAAACTGGAGCATCCCAGGGGAGAATCCTACCCTGGATTGTGAAACGTGTTTATCAGAGAATCGTGGAATGGTTTGGGTTGGAAGAGACTTTCAAAGGTCATCTAGTCCAACCCCCATGCAGTGAGCTGGGGCACATTCAACCAGAGCAGGTTGCTCAGAGCCACCTATCTGTACCTATTGTTCCAGTGTTTCATCACCATCATTGTACAAAATTTCTTCTATCTATCTATAAAGAATTAATTGGCCTTGAACTGGCTGTCACCATTTACTCTTGGAATTGCTGCTTGATCAACCTGCTGCATTGGTGTAACAGCTTCAGAGTCAGAACAATTGTCAGTGAGCTTTCCTACTAGTGCAGCTGGTTTCTCAAAGCCTTGGTCTTCTGACACATCATGACCCTAACTAGAATTGATGGAAACAAACCTTGGATTTTGAGGCATTGAGACCAAATGCTTCCATGTCTGGAGAACGGGTTTAATAAAAGACCTACTGTGATCTCCCTGTGTAATGTGAGGTGTGTCATGGGGAGGGGAGAACTGCTGTCCCTGCTCTGTGAAGTACAGCTTGGGGAGGTCTTCCTGACACCCCCAGGCACACATTCTGTGGGGGTAAAAAGGGTGGTAGGAACTATTCTTCCTTCCTATACTATAAAGGCTACATAGACAACATTAGCATTGATTATTTTGAGACTTAAGGAGGAAACTGCTTACAACTTCAGCAGCAGCGTTGGTGGAGAATAGCTAGTGGAGTTCTCATGTTGCTTTGTGATGATACTCATTGTATTTAGTGACTTTCCTTTCATTCAAAGGATCAGAATCGTTCTGGTTGAAAAAAACCTTTAAGATCACCAAATCCAACCCTTCCCCAGCACTGCCAGGTCCCCACTGCCCCGTGTCCCTCACACCACATCTCCACAGCTTGGAAACCCCTCCAGGGGTGGGGACTCCACCACTGCCCTGGACAACCCTTTTGGGGAAGAAATTTTTCCTTATAGCCAACCTAAATTCCAACTTCATCCTCCTTTGTCTTTTCAGTATAACAAAGGCCATCTTAAAAAAAAAAAGGGGGGGAGGAAAGTAGGGGAAAATCTAAAGGAAAGGGGAGGAAAAAACCAAAAAGCAGGGCTAGCTTCAGCTGTGATGGGCTTCCACCATTTCTCACCAGGCTGGCTGTACAGTTTTGGCCATACAAAGCACCAGCCTTGGCTGCCTGTGAGTACAGCTCGTGTGTGAGTGGAGGTCGTGGTAGTGTTAGGTGATGGTTGGACTTGATCATCTTAGAGGTCTTTTCCAACCTTAGTGATGCTGTGAATTCTGGCTGACTGGCTGCCATCTGGTAGCACCCAACCACCCCAGCACGAGCAGTGGGTGCAGCCTTCACCAGCCTGCCCTTGGCATTTCTGCTCCTTTCCAGTTGGTAACGTTGGGACCTTCAGGGAAGGTGTCTGACTGCAGAAGTGTCTATTTTTTAATTTGTTGATGTTTCATTTGGGTTTTGTTGCTATTTCCATCCACTTGCAAATGTTCTAGTTGCCACCCATCTAAAAAAAGCTCCTATCCCAGAATAATTAACTCAAAATCTATGTGTTTCATCTCCAGTGAGCCATACTTGAATGATTTAAATTTGTTGTTGAAGTTAGTGCAGCAGAAGCAGACAGGAAAATCTGGAAGGCTGTATTCTGATGCAGAGGAGAAAAAGTTCTGGTCCTGTTTTTCCAGAAAGCAGGCAAATAATGGCATTTCTTGCAGACAGTCTGACATTCTATTGACTGTTTCATAACCTATAAAAAAGGGGAGGGTGCTGAAGGGAGCAGCTGGGTGTGTAGGATAAATGTAGAATAAATGGGGATAATGTCCTAGGGCATGGTAGTGTTGTTTTCCTGTGCACTGAGAGCCATGATCCCTAAATACAAATAATATTGAAAATTGCTGCTCAGAAACGTTGCATTTCAAAGCTACAGTTGACTGTAGTCATTTGCCAGGTTTTATAAAAGTTACTGATTTTTTAATAGATGAAAAAGTAAATCCATGTGACCTGGGTTCTGTAGAATCTGAAATACCACCCCAAAGTCTAAGGAATACCAAGTCTCCTCTCATTTGTAGCTTATTTTTACTGATGGTCAATTTTTGAGGCACATCAACCTCTGGCTCTGTAGAAACCAGGAACAAATTGTCAATGATCTCATCTTTATTTTAGGGTTTTGTCACCCAGTCCCTTTTGGAAGTCGGGTTGGGTGATGTTTTAAAACTGCCTGACCATTGTCCCTGCCCCGTGTGTCAGTGGTTGGGACTGGGAAGAAGTTTACCATGGAGAAATGAGTGTGCAATTAATATGGCAAATGAATAGCTGAGCTGTAAATGGGCTCGCTGGGAGAGCTCTGGAGCCCATGGAGAGAATGTTAATGTGTTGCCATGTTATTGGTGCTAATCACTTAAAATGTGCTTCTTTATTAGTAGCTTTAATGAGAGCCTCTTAAACTGTGCATTAAAAAGAGGGACTGCAGAGAAGGACGACAGGCTGGGTAGCAGACAGTCATAATTTTAATGGAAATGCTTTTAGTACAAAAAAAATATAAGAAAATCTGGAATCCAGTAATCCTTTTCACTTTCTGAAACCCCTTCCATTATGTCTCATCAATTAGTTTTGTTTCCAGAGCTTGGGTTATTTATTTTCCTAAATGGTGATGGTTTTTAATCCCCATAAACACATAATTTGTTATTGAGTCACCCACTTGGAGTGAAACACAGGGGCTTGAAGAAAATGCTGTTACTTTGGTTGAGCTGATGTCTCTGGGAGCAGAGTGCCAACCTCAAGGGATTTGGTCAGTTTTTACCACTGTTTTAATGTTTTAAATTCTCTGTGATTTGTTCCAAGAGATTAGTGTGTATCTTGTAGCTGTGGTAGAAATTTTTAACACCTAATAGCACGGAGGTGCTGAGTCAGATGGTGCCTCTGCCAGGCTTGTTAGTGACCCATGGGTGAGAGTCCCTCATCCCTCACAAGAAGATGTTTTGTTTCCTTCCCTTCTTTTGACTGGTCATTAATATTTACATGCTTATTTTTATTTTAGGGGGTGGTACCTAGTGCAAATCAATCTGGAGTCTTAGGAGTTGTTTTGCTTTCCCAAGAATAATATAGCAATCTGTCAGAGAAGGGATACAAAGGACTGGGCAGTGTTTGGAGCATGTTGTGCATAATTTTTCCCTGTCTGTATTCAGAAAAAAAGGTGGTTTAGGGTTTAGGTGTCAGCCAAAACTTGAGAGAGACAGGTTCTGTTTCTTCATTTGCTAGGGTTTTACTGAAATTTTGACCAAGATACTTATTCCCAGACACAGAAAACTTAGATGCCTACTCTCAACTTGAGTGGAATTTAGACTTATGTGCCTCAGCATGCAAGTTTTTGTCACAAAATTTACATGGTATTTTAAACAATGAGGGATGTGCACATTACTGACATCTCTAGATGTATGCCTATTGCTTTGATCTGTGTAAAGTATTTATGCCCCTGTACTGGGCACTGGGGAGGCTGCCCCTTGAATCCTGGGGTCAGTTTTGGGCCCCTCACTTCAAGAAGGACCTGAGGGAGCTGGAGCATGGCCAGAGAAGGGCAGTGAAGCTGGGGAAGGGTCTAGAGGCCAAGTGTGGGGAGGAGCAGCTGAGGGAGCTGGGGGTGCTGAGCCTGGAGCAAAGGAGGCTCAGGGGAGACCTTCTGGCTCTGCACAGCTCCTGACAGGAGCCTGGAGCCAGGGGGGGTCGGGCTCTGCTCCCAAGGAACAAGGGACAGGACAAGAGGAAACGGCCTCAAGTTGCCCCAGGGGAGGTTGAGGTTGTCCCTGAGGAACAATTTCTTGCCCTGAAGGGTTGCCCAGGGCTGTGCCAGGCTGCCCAGGGCAGTGGTGGAGTCCCCACCCCTGGAGGGGTTTCCAGGCTGTGGAGATGTGGGGTGAGGGACACGGGGCAGTGGGGACCTGGCAGTGTTAGGTTGACACTTGGACTCAGTGATCTCAAAGGTATTTTTCAACCTTAATGATTCTATGATTCTATTTAGTCAAGTTTTCATTTTGACAGCTTGTCTCTGCTTGAATAAATTGAGTGGCTGTAGTATTGCTTCACTGATCCTCCTCTTCTCAATGTCTCCACAGGATTTTTTCCAGGAAGCTCTCAGGGATGTGATGCTTTCCTGCGTCACAAGATGACCCTCATCTCCCCCTCCATCCTGAAGAAGTATGGCATCCCTTTCGACAGGGTATGTACAAAGGAGGCATCAAAGACACTTGTTGAGGTGCACAAAGCCCAGCAGCCCCTTTTTTTTTTTTTTTTTTTTTTTTTAAAGGAAACAATCAATCCCCAGCCTCTGAGGAGCAATTTGCTTAATTTCTAAGTGCATTATTATGCTAAATGTGTCCTATCGCTTTAAACCAGGTGCTTGCCTGGAAAGGAGGATTTGTGGTTTGGCTGAGACACCTTCTGTGAAGTGCTTCTCTTCAATAAAAGCTTTCAGGAGAACTAACTTTGTCAGTTAGGGAACCTCTCCAGGCAGAGAGGGGCAAACTGTAAGAAGGATGCCATGGCTTATCAATAGGCAGCATAACTCACTGGAAATTCTTAAACACAGACTTTGCTTCTCCTGGATCCAGAGTGAACCAAAACCTGGAGTTAGATGTGCAGGTTCTCTGTTGTGTAAGCATTTGTTCTGCCCTGAGCCAGCGAGGATCCACGAATCCCTTAAGTCCTCTTATTGGAGAGGAAGGGTCATGTTTGTTTGGTATGATCGTTTTAATGTGCTTATTCTTAAAGGCTTCTGGCAAGAAGTAAATCTCCTCAGCCAAGCATGCTTACCACGGATTTAGTATCTGCAGAATCAGTCAAAGAGCTGCTGCTGCTGTGTGTCAGTGGCATGCAGAGCCCTTCCTGCCAGGGGGTCTTTGGATGTGGGAAAGGGGTGGAGTGAGAGGTGCTGGGACTCTTTAACTCCAGTGGGAAGTGCCAGAGACTGCCTGGTTCAAACTGATTTCATCCTTCCCAATCCCTTTTGCATCAGCACCTGTAGGTAACGTGACCATCTTTAAGAACTCTTAAATTCTGATTTTTTTAATTTATTTTTTTTTAAGCATAGTTTTGTTAGAGTTAGTCCATCTGAGACAAAGCGTAGCACCTACTTGATGAGCCTGGTGATTCTTCGAGATGGAAGTAAAAGACCTTGGCTCTTTTATAGCATAAAACCTGTGAATTCATTCAATTTACTGCTCCAGAGACTTTCATTTTTCCTAGTGGAAGGCTTTGATGAATGAAATTTGAAGTGTAATCATCTGGCTTGTCAGCTGAGCTTGCTGTCAGTGCAGAGGAGACTTACATGAAGCAATGTGGTGCTTATGGTTCAACATCAGTGGCTAGACTTGGCCTAGTTTGCACATGATGGTTGATATTAAATTGCTCATAGAGAGCAACAAACCGTTTTTCTTGTAATTCTATCTGTGGAACCTAATTCCCAAGTGTGAAAACACAGGTACCTGCTACCCAGGGTGGAAAATAATCCAATGAAAATAGCCAATTGAGGGATCTGAATTTTTTTGATAAGGCTTTTTGCTTTACAAATTTCAGGAAAGTGGATATGTGGACTGCAATATGGGAAACATCTCAGTTTAATACATAAATGCCCCTCTGAGAAATAACTTTTGATAGAGGAGAAAAAAACATTCCCTATAACCATAGTCAGAAAAGAGAACAAAAAGCTGTAGCTGTTGCAAGCTCCTGAAAAATCTGTCTGACTTTATCTTTGTATGTTGGCCTAAACTGTAAAGTTTAAGGATTTATTCTTCTTATTTCTGCTTCAGTATTGGTTGAATGCTGTGTCTTGCTGCTTCTTGTGGTGTTTTCCTTATGAAGTTTGTAACCAGAAGCCATAAGTGGTGCAATAATTGGCTGAGCAGAGCCTAAAAAGCACACGCTGCTTATCTAAAGAAGCTGAAAATAGAAATTTGAAAGTACCTGTTGGTGCACACTTGCTGCTCAAGGGAAGCTGGCCTGGGAAATGGGAATTAATTTCTGCTGTTTCGTTCAAGCAGCATGTTGGAGCAGTGCTCTTGGGTCTGCTGGAGGTCAGAATGTGGAGGAAATTCTTGCAGGACATGAAATATTTGAATGTTGTAGGTGGGCATATTTTTCTCTGGAATAATATGTTGTTATAGGTTTGATTTTTCCATCTACCTGAGGAAGGTGGCGTTGACTAATAATTGTGCACTGAGTGGTTTCTGATCCATAACCAAATGAGAGTTTGTAGGAAGGCAACAGAGGAAAAATTCTCTCCCAAACTTATCCCAGGTCATCTTTGCTGAGCTGTATGGTGATAGGGATGGGGTGCAAACTGGTTTTAATAAGGGCATTTCTAGTTTATTGCTTGGTAAAAAGTCTTTTCCTGCTTAGCTTGGCTTCCCACTGTGAATATTTTGATTTGTGACATGAAGGTTTTCTCCAGATTGACATCTGGTGTCTCCTTCCTACTGAGGATATGGAGAAATCTTAGTGCTAAGAATCTGATTTTTGTCTCCCTAATTTTTACCAAAAACCCAGGAGAGACCAGTGTGCACATAAAGGACAGTATTAATGTCAAACCCAAACTTTATTTTTGAAGCAAGATGGGCTATTAACATGTTACATAAGTATCATTCCTAATCCTGATGTACAGCATGCAGGCGGGAAAGTGTTTTTTTTTTGTGACTGGTACTTTCTTCTCTATGGCACTCAGTGGAAGGATGTTTTTAAATGTAAAAAGGAGGAGGAGATCTCTTCAGTCTGAGCAGCCTATATCTGAATACCTCCTGTCCTGAAATAGCAGCTTTTGAAGGAGGATCACTGATATCCAGAACTGGAGAGCATGTGCCATTTTCCTTTAGAGAGAGAGATAGGATCCCTCCATCTGAATTCTTGGCAGATTTCAATGAAGTGAATAGGCACCATTCAGTATAAATCTCTATAATGGTATTTACTTCTGGAAAAAAAGAAACAGGTCAATACTAGGGCTCTTTAATAATTAAAAATGTGTATTTCTGTAATCTCCTATTGATCTCTCCATTTATTGCTCGAGAGCTTGCAGAAGTCAGTAAATTTAGGGCTTTCTCCATGAGTGGCAGTTTGTGCTGGCTTTCCTTCAATAGTTATTACTTTTCTGCATGGCCTATCCATCATCTTGAGTGCTTTCTAATTTATTGTAGGGATAATGTTGACAGCAGTGACATGGAGGACATACACTGTGGGCTTGAAATGAAGACACCAGGATGTAGATTTCCTGACAGAAACATAATCTTTCCTTCTTCTGAAGTTAGCAACCTACCACTCTGCTTTGATTTGTGGAGGGGGCTGGATGGGAGGATGCTTTGTGGAGCTGGGTGCAGGCTGGACTTCAGCACCTCTCCTCCAGAAATACCTCAGAATATTCTAAAAAAACCCAGTTTTTATTATCTTTTAAAATTATTCTACTAACTTTACTAACGTTAGGAAGTTTAGGAGTCAGTCCAGCCAGCTGGGTGAATGTTTTAGCTTCTTTCTGGTGACATTTTCTGTTTGGACCCATCCTGGTGTTTGTAAGTGGAAGTTCTTTGAAACCTCTGCAGGCTCTGAACTGCTGCGTGGTGAGTTACTGCTGGTGGGAAGGAATCCAAGTGGAGTTGCTTGGCATGTGACTGCTGTGGAAGGTCTGTCAGCACTTCTGGGTTGGAAAGACAGGGAAGGTCAAGTTGTGCCTCTTTCCTGATGTGTAGGAGGGAGGTGCTGTCACACGCTGGCTGAGCTAGAGAGCTGGGCTGGCAGGATGGCTTCGTGCTCACCCTGTCACTGCCAGTTGCTCTCATGATCTCTAACAATTAAATTCCTTTTTTCCCCCAATATCTTCTCTGTGTACGATGTAAAAAGAGGATTTTGTAGAAGCATCACGAATGAATTGGCTTCTGATTACAACTGTAATCTGCAGAGTTTTTAACCCTTATATTAATAATGTCCATAATGCTTATCATTGATTTAATTTTACTTAAGGAGACAAATGTTGGGCTGTAGTTTTCAGGTTGTTTGACTTACAGGTGAACAAGTGAGAGTAAGACTGATAAATGTGGAAATAGAAGCAGTGGAAGGCAGTGGGTACTTCAGTGAGACTTTGCCATGCAGAGTGCACATTAGGAGGGAGATCCAGTTTTCTTGGCTCCAACAGCATGAGGGGGAGAATGGAAATTTGGGCTTAGGCACAGCTCAAGTGGTCACGATCTAAAGATTTATTGATCTGTGGAATGCTGCAGCCTGTGATTCTTTTTGTAACTGGAGCCTGAGAGTCTAAATAGTTCAGATCTTGTGACCTCTTCCATCCATTGTTCTGTCTTTATCCTTAATGGAAATTTTGGTGTTTCTGCAGTTAACCAGAAATTGCTCTAGGTTCGGCCACGAGTTGGCAGGGACAGCTCTGCCCACCCTCCAGCTGAGACAGAGATTTAACCTGTGCATTTTATTTTAATTGGTCTTTGTTTTCAGGTTGCTACATGAACTGATCTATGGGGTATCTCTTCCTTTTGTGTTTGTTTTCAGATCACCCAGGAAGCTGGAGAGTTCATGATTACATTTCCCTATGGTTACCACGCTGGCTTCAATCACGGCTTCAACTGTGCTGAGTCTACCAACTTTGCCACTTTGAGATGGATTGACTATGGGAAAATGGCAACCCAAGTAGGTGTCTGTTGGGATGAAAGGTTCCTTAAAACCACTAGCTCATGAAACATGGAAGAATGAGAGTGGGAGACTTAAGAACAAAAGGGGAAATGCTGGTTTTGGGACAACATTCTCTTTCGTTGTGCCATGTTGCTGTTTTATGATAATTTTTTGATCATTTTGAGGGCCTAGTAATGACTTCTCAAATGCTAGATGTTACCTACGCCTTGTGAAGAGGTGGTTTGGAGACTTTGTAAGTTAGGATTACTTTTCTATGCATCTAAACTGCATTTCACAGTGAATAAGGTGACTGATGTAACCGAGTACAATTCATTAGGTACACACTGAAGGGGAAGCAATAAGCTGGAAATACTTTTAAGCTGTAATAAGACTATGGTAATAACCTTCTGAAGAGAGCAGAATTTCTCAGGTCTATCCACTCAGTTAAGTTGGAAGAGGAGAGTCATGCTGGATGACTCTGCGTGGCTGTTTCTCATCAGGGCAAAGTTGTTGTGTGTTTTGTTCCTTTTGGCAGCTCTGAAGGCAGCACACATATGGCATTCTCTTGGTTTGAAGTGTGAAGTAGAACTGATCAGCATAACTGATACAGCAGGAGCTGTGGATTTTTAAATTGAGGATCAGATCCACGCAGTCTTTGGGGAAAGGTTAAACAATTACAGAGGGGGTAGCATTTGAAAGTTGCCTCACGTGTTCCTTTGCAGAAGGGCAGATTTAATTTTCACTCCAGAATAGCATTTATAATATCTCCTTCATTTACTTTTTTGGGTGTTTTTCTATCAACTCAGCTTGAATCTGTAACTTTTGTGATGCATCCTAATGCTTTCTTCTGGGCTAAACCAGCTCTGTTCAGCACGGGCTGCAGGCACCTCTGTGGCTTGCTCTGGAACAATGTAGTGATGCCCATTTTTCCTTTACAAAGGTTTATCTTCTGAGGGTAGCAAAAGGTAGATGATGACTGAATGGTGTCATTCTCTTCTCAGCTTTGGGATCCTGGGGTCCCTGACAGATCCCTTTTATAACCCTCCAGCTTTTTGCTGTAATGCCTTTGGCTGTTTTTGAGCCAAGCTGAAACCTTCTGCATAGAATTATATTTGATAATGATCAGTGTTGTGTGTTAATCAGCTTGAGTGGCTGCTTTGTGACTAATGTGAGTCACTCTTTTTGCTTCTGGAGGCTCGTGCTGTTTCTGGCACTGCAGGCTTCATGGGATCTCATAGAGTCACAAAAAAACCCCTCCATACTGTTCCTCACTATTTTTCCTTCTTAACATCATTAACCCAGCTGTAAAAGGAAGATGATTGTCACCCCAGAGGACTTTTTTCCTGCTTTTTCCCCTCTTTGGTAGTCTCTACCCTCCCTCATCAGCTGCAGGAGTGCTTTGGATATACAATGGCACAATAATCAATATCTGAGAAGCTCATCCCATGGAAAACAAGCTCAGCTGGTCAGGTTCCTGAGAGGTGAAGTGTCTGTCCTGTTTATTTTTTTCAGTAATATTCAGCCTGTAGGTTCAAGGACACTCCACTGTTAGCCAACAAATTTGGCATTTGAGCTCTCTTTTTTTTTCTAAAATAAACAGATTTTATTATATAATTTCTGACAGCAGAGTGGTGTAAAAGCATCTTCTGTTAGGCACACTAGGGCTGTGCCATGAAATACAAAAATGAAATATGCCATGAAATACAAAATACATGAACTCACTGTGCCAGTGGGGTAGCACCACTAAATTACTAGTAATGGCAACTGAAATGATTCTCTGAACAATGAAATCCTCATGCTGAAAAGTTCTGTATTTGTCCTCTGTGTCCCCCACCAGCTTTCAAGCAGTGGTCCCTCTGCTGGGGTTTGTAATCTCTCCATATCCCACCAAGGCTGTAGAGCAGACCCTCTGGCAGTGATTGAGGCTGCAGGGCTAGGTGGAGGCTGGAGTTGTATATCTGAATTTGTTCTGGAGTTAAAGACATGGTAAGAAAACCCTGGACCAGTAAGAGGCCTCAAATCAGTGTGAAGTGTCTTAAACTTAAAAATAGCCAAGCAAACTCGATAGGAAATTTTAAAAATAGCATTTGTCTGCTGTGACCCTGCAGACCAGGTTTATCTGTAGCAAGTGGTCGTGGTATTACACCCCAGAAAATGGGGGTTATCATGGAAATTCTGACAGACCCTTAACTCCAGCACTGCCAGGAGGCACCACTCTAATATGAAAAGCAATTTTGGGCTCAGCCATGTGTTCACAAACAAGTGACATTGGGGAAGTGCAGTTTCAGATTGAGCCTCCATGCTTACATTGTTAAGCAGCCTAGCGTGAAATTACTGAACAAGCAGCAGGGAGAGCTCTGAGCAAATCTAGGGAGAGAAAGTTGGAGGGTGGAAGGAGACGCCCAATTTATTTCCATTGCTCTGGGTGACACTTGTCTGTTCAGAGATTTCCATTTAATATTGCCTCAGCCAGGCACGGAATGCATGTTAATTAACCCTTTGGTACCTTGCTCTCAGGTGCCAGATGAGGTAGGAATGCTGTTACACTGCGAGGGCAAAAGGTTTGTTTAAATCTCATTTTAAGTTAAACAGAGACTTAATGAAATACCAGCTGACTGTGGACACTTGAGCTGCCTGCACGTTTGTGGAGAGAGAATTCATGGAGAGAGACATCCTGGAGTCTGTGAATTTTGGTTAACTACTGCAGGTTTACTAGATTTAAAGGATGGCTATATTGATTTCTGTGCTTTCAGGCACAATTAGATCATCCTCACCCGCTTCTGAGCCTGGGTTTGGGTTTTTTTTCTTGTCATACACTCTTTTATGAAGTTCTTGGAAACTCTCCCCTGGGTGGCACTTTGCAGGTACATACTCTTACTGTGCTGGAACCAGCTGGAAGGCAGTTCTCCTTTCCTCAGGTTAGCAATACAGCTGTCTTGTCCTGCCAGTACTCGTGAGATTGGTGACAAGGTAAGGTTCAAGAGGAACCAGTTGTAATGTTCTCCAGGACATAATCCTGGGGATGAAATGAGGATTCTGCTCTACTGAGAGCGATATGTGTCAATGGCAGAGCATGAGAGAGAGCTCACACAGGGAGGTGATGGCTCACCTTGGAGAAACATCCACAGAGCCCTGCTAATTGCCTGCCAGATGGATGAAATGTTCTGCTAACCACAGCAGAACCTGCCTAGGCTGTAAAAAATACATAATAACCACACTGAAGTTTAAAGCTCAGCTTCTGAAACGCTGGTTCTGTTCTAATTGTAGAACAAGCATATCAGCATTAGCAAAAAAAAAATCCCCAAAGCAATGGCTGCAGAGTTG